TGCTTAGGTAGGATTTGAACAGATCGAAAGGGGTTCCCCTTATGCCTATGTTTTCGAGCCTGTCTAGAAGTATGGGGACAGATACTGTGTCAAAGGTCGAGGAAAACTGCCAGACATTTGCTACCTTTATCCATTTTGTCAACTATAGATGTTAGAGACAGGACCGCATCCTCAGTAGACCGTCCCTGCCTAAACCCAAACTGAGAAGGTGACAGGATGTTATACTTAGAAAGGTATTTAGTTAAACGTGAATTTAAGTCTTTCCAGGATTTTTGAGATGGATGGCAGAACTGAAATTGGCCTATAATTTGACCTGTCTCCACACTTGTACACAGGCGTTAAGGCTAATTTTAAAGCATCCGGGAAAAGTCCCTGCTCAAAGCAAAGGTTTGTCAAATAAGTTAGGATTGGCACAATTTGTTCGTGTGCAGCTTTAAGGAATTTAACTGGAATGTGGTCCCAACCTGGAGCACTATCTGGTTTTAAGCTCATTAGTGTAGCATGAACTTCACAAAAGTCGAGTAGGCAAAAGTGTCGAGTAGGGCAAAAGAAGAGGCCGATGTACAGGCAGATAAAAATGAGCAAGGATCGTTATTAGTTACTGTAGAAGACGGATACTTTTAAGAAATTAGGCGAAAGCTAGTTAATAATATAATACGTTTATCAATAATTACTATGAAAGGATCTTCGTTCCAACAGTGTTCCACGACACTCACTCATGTTTTGTATTTGTTGTTTGAACGTCGGTTCATCCCCTGAGCATCCGTAGAGTTCTTCATCAGAGCTTAGTGTTTTCCTTGAACATTTGTTTTCCCAACTTTGATTTAAAATATCTCATTGGATCTACTAATATCCCGATAATATAAGCAATGCAGTTATCACTTGCATATCCAGCATAAGTTACATAAACCTAATGGCAAATTTTTTGGTTCTTGCTCAAGATGGACACACTCATCATCATCATCATCATTACAGCCCTTCACAAGTCCACTGCTGAACATAGGCCTCCCCCAAAGAATGCCACAAAGCACGGTCCTGAGCCACCTGCATCCATCGACTTCCTGCATATCTTACCAGGTCGTCACTCCATCTAGTGGGGGGACGCCCTACACTTCGCCTGCCGGTACGAGGCTGCCACTCGAGAACCTTTCTTCCCCATCGGTTGTCGGTTCTTCGAGCTATATGGCCGGCCCATTGCCACTTCAGCTTACTAATCCGTTGGGCTATGTCGGTCACTCTGGTTCTACTGTGGATATCCTCATTTCTGAGTTTATCACGCAGAGAAACTCCGAGCATAGCCCTCTCCATAGCTCGCTGAGCGAGTATCGGTATACCTCAAAACTTGAAAACGAGACTGTACACCCAGTGCGTGTTGCCAGTGATGACATACGGAACTGAGACGTGGTCCTTCACTGCTGGCCGGATGAGGATGGACACACTGCCAGCAATCAATCTACTAAATCAACGTCTCCCATATTTCTGCATTATAATTAACATTTTCCTGATACTTACGAAGTTACTCACTGTGGTCGCTTTCATCACCTCTACTAGAATAAGATAACAGTTGTATTTAGTGGAATTTCTTTTTTACCTTCATATAGAACACCGATTTATTTAGATTTCTAGACGTATTTATTTGTTATCCTGTTTGAACGGAATAAAATGAATAGACAGACAGTACTTGCTCATGAGAACGAATAATAAATGTATTGTAACTGAGACCGAACGACCTCTGATGCGGACATAAACTTACATAGCAATTTAGAAACATTCTTTGGAATTATTATCAAAAATTAGACCTGTTTACATTATTAACGGTCTTTATCTATACAACTATCATAAATTAAAAAAATATAATTAGCTTTACATAGTGATTTTCATGGATTACACTTAGCCATTGCTGTGTCCTGTCCTGACTGCAAATGCAAGAATTTTGTGGGCACGCTAATCGCCGATTGGTTTTTACAGGCCTTAATTATATTTTTACCGATATGCAAATATTAATATCAATACAAATATCAATCACGCAAATATTATTAATTATACCTTACTGCAAGTTTTAAATTGTTTAGCCTTTTTTAAATTCTAATTTAATGTAGTAGTATAATTGTACTACGGAAGAGCGGGTCCCTCTGCTACAGGTATCTATTTACTTAAAAGAGAGTACCCAACAATATTGTTACTACTTATTTTAAAGCAATAAATTATTATTATGCTCTACTATGTGGCGTACAATCAAGCCCGTAAAAATTTAAATGAAAGAAAATTGATGAGCGTAGAATTTTTTTTAACTTTAATGTACTCGTTCGAGTACTAGAGGACCCTAGAGGACCCGTATGTTTTTTTTGTACGGTACCCACATTAAAATAGTTTAATAAATAAAACAGCAAGAAATACTATGGGAATTATTTTTATTTGTAAAGGAAAATACAGGGAGAATTGCTGAATTGGATTGAGTCAATATAACTGACCACCCACGACACCAAAGTTCTTTTATATTAATTTGATTATTTGCTAATTACTCCATCAGTTTTGTTCAGAAACTTATACATACCAGATGTAAATTATTCGTGAAGATAAATTATAATACATCATAAAAGTTCTTGATCAGTCAGTCACACATCACAAAACCATTTGACAAGTGACAACAATTTATAAATGTAGAATGATGAAGAAGTCATTTGAAGTTCTCTTTCCAGTTGCTTCTTTTTAAGATAATTATAATTTTGTAAAACACGACAGCAAGTTGAAATTAATAATACCTGAAGTTTATATTATTATTAATCAACGGCATATAGGTTAGAAAATGCAAAGCATGGAATTATCTGGAGAACTTTCATTAGACCAATAAATACATGAAAAACATAAAGACCTATTCAATCTCTCATATTTCATTTCGTGTTGTTATTTACTTTCACTCACAACATTCATGTCTTCTAATGTAAACATAATTATAGTATGAATGATCTTTCATTTGACTTTCTGCTGTTTTGCATCAAGAAATATAATTAAGGCACTATCGAAAATTAATCTAAGACTTGTTATATTATTCTTATTTATATTTAAAAAAATCCTTAAATTATTTTAAAGATTTTGAGTTTTTTTTTTATAATGGAGTAATAGACAATGATGGAATAACAATTACAATTCAAAAAAAAAATATATAGCGTTCTAAGGGCACCTATCTTGTTATGAAATTTTATTCGATTAACTATAATTTGGATAAAGTACAACTAGTCAGCATAAATTTTAACACTGGGCCGCATATGTTTGCGCATATTCATATTTTAAGCAATTACGGTTATGGTCCTCGAATTCATATGGTATATGCTCCAATGACTTACTACAGAATGCATAATGAAATAATTGGGTCGCAGGAATAGTTTTATCGGCTTCATACCCTCAAACAGACATAGAAATTGTTTACTGTCATTCAAAGGGCAGTATTAATAATACTTGCCCTATTATACAATTATGTAAGGAGTTACGTACAGTATTTTTACCCACTGTATACGTAATATGTGTGCTCCCTGTATAAATTAACAATATAATGACGAAATCAGTCTTTTCCGACCAAACTCTAGGTGTGTAAGAACGAAAGTTGAGTAAACTTAATCAATGCGGTGTTTACATGACGATAAAATTAAACAAATGTAATAAAATAATACTTCATTATAATGATCAATATACATATCAGTGCAAAAAAGTGGATGGATGCATTTAAAATATAAATTGCTTTTAAATAGAGATTTTAAACAGCTTTTAAAATCGAAATAATTAAAAGTAAAGTAAGACATACTTGCACCAAGGATAAAGGGCACCACTAAGCTATTTGAACTATTCAAAGTACTCGTTAGTTTAAGAAACTATGATATCATAAAGTTCATAAAAATAAAATTTCTCTAATTATATTAATAAAAGCAATAAACATACCTACATATTAACAAACATGCCACATATATAACTAAATTAAAGACTTATTACAAATTTAAGTGCAAAATAATTTGTATGATGTGTAAAATCTATTTAAAAAAATAAAATATACTTTACAGAATATAAATTCAACAAAACAAAAAAAAAATTGCGTATGGTACGCCAGTGTCGATCAGACATTTTTGCAACACAGGCACTGAATACGAAACAACTTTACTATTATTGTCAATGTAACTAGATGCTTTATAACTTTGAAATAAGAAATAGCTATTAATGTACATCAATATCACACCGTTACAAATAAACACAGAATACTATTCATTTAAAATGCCGCGTGAAAGGCGTTTTAAGCGACTTACGTCACTCAATGTAATGTGGGCTAATTATCTTCCGCTCACCAAATATTGCTAGTTGGGACTGAGGTGGAGTTATTTGTTAAACTAGGTCATTATAAATGAGAAGTTGCGTTTTAAATAAATGATGATCAGTTTCTAGAGTGCGTGAATACACAACACAATGCCTCATTTTTTTTTTTGCACTTTTTAAATTTTTCTACTTTTTGGAATATCCGTAATTTGGCTTATCCAATAATAATCTAATTAATATAAATATTACTAATATTCAGAAGGAAGCATTAGCAATTAAATTTTCTTAATAAATAAATGTTTGCCGCCATTAAATCTGTCAAGTACATATTTCACCTCGTACTTAAGTTGGCAGCGCCCTGGTAGGAGAAAAAGTCGTGAATGCGTTCATTTAGTACCATTCCTAACGTAAACGTGTACCCTGTGAATAACTTAACAAGAATTGTTTGTATGATACTTTTTCCTAACCCTATCTGTATAGGCGTGTTCTAAAATTTACTTTCGTAAGATTTTTTTTTCCTTTCACTCAGCACTTTAAGCGGATAACACATAACTACATAAAAAGTAAGCGAGATCTTAATTTAATGTTTTAGAAATCGTAGACAAGAAAATGTGATCGTCGCTCGAAATGTTCCGAAACATGCGTAAAATGATAAACGAAAGAGTGGAATAAATCTTCAATAGAGCCAAGCACTCAACAACTCATTGCCATGTCGAGTTACTTGCAACGTTTGTATTTGGCTGTCCGAATGCATTAGGAAAGCTTTGCCCTAAGTTTAAGTTGCCGAACTGTTGCGACAGTTGCTGTGGCTGCTGAATCGGTTGATTACTAAATAATTGTGGATTGTTCTGAGGGAACGTCGGCTGCGGTGGTTGCATAGTTTGCTGAGGTATTTGAGATCCAAACTGTTGAAAACTGTTCATTGGTTGGAATTGATTAAAATGTGGCATGCCATTTTGAATGGGCATACTATTATAAATAGGGGTTTGATACGTTGGAGCAAACGGAAACGCTTGAGGTTGCGCTGGAGGCACAGCATTGAATTGGTTTACTAAATTCGTAGCTGGTGTTTGACTATACAATGCTAATATACTGTCTTTTGTTAGCTTTGATTTCTCTTTCTCAGTCGGGGCTGCCTGTTTAAAGAAGTTTTCTTCTTCTGTCTTTAAATCAGATTTAATTTCTTCTGGTTTAGGAGTCTCAGATGGTTTTTCTTGCGGTGCTGAGAAGAAACTGGAGAATATATCGTCGCTTGTGGTGCTTTTTGTCTCTGGTTTTCCTGTGTCCAAGCCGAGAAGGTCTGTTGAGCCATTGGAAGTTTTGCTGGTATCTGCCTGGCTGCTTGTAGGTGTATTTCTGCCAAGTTTAGGGCTAACAGAAGACTTTGGCTTCGGTATGCTTGGTATAACATCTGATTTCTGAAAAGGATATAAATCAAGGGTGTGAGCACACTTTACACTTTTGATGGGTATGGTAGTAGTGTTGTATGAAAATATATCAACCATTTCATGTCGTAGTGTAGTGTCGTGTAGGCGACAATTAAAAATAATTAACAGAATTAGGCGTTACTTTGCGGAAATCCATTATACTATACATTTAAGTAATATGTACTACGTACTAGAAGAGACGCCGAGACATGGTTGTTTGAACACGCGTTAGAGCCCGCTAACTTACTTACCGACCGATTTTTTAATTACATATGAGTGACAAGCGAGCACAGTCCACCTGATGGTAAGTGGTTGTTGTGGCCAATAGACATCTATATCTATCCTCGTTTGCGAATCAAAATTCAGATGCATTGTCAGCTGTGAGGGCTAAGATGGCATGCCTCTTTTCCAGTAAAAAGAGTCTCCGGTTCTCTACACTCACCATACGAAACACAGCAGCATTAAGCTGCTATTTTACGCTGGTATTCTGTGAGAGCGTGGTCCTTCCCCGGTCGAGCCGACCCATTCGTGCTACAATTATACTACTAATATATCTGCAGCATGGCTCTACCACGTATATAATGGTAATATAACACGTAATATAACATTTGATCTTCAATATATCACCATTTCCGTCTTATTTCCATTTTGTATAAAAGCTTTAATTCCTTCTTTGGAATAGTTACCGCACCGGCACCAATGAAATTGTTAATCGCAAATTGGAAAGTTGTGTGTCTGAGAAATTACAAATGGTTTGAGTACCTGTTAAGTCTGCCAACATGCATTGGGACAGAGCGCCAAATATCTACATAATAAATAAAATCTCCCTTGTTGCAAAACCCCTCTCAGAAATGAGAGCTGGCCTTTGTCCGTTTGAACGTATGCAATGTCTAAACGTAGTAAATTGGTAAAAAATGTAAATCTTACATTGTACTTCTTGTCGCCGACTGTAGGTGCGGGAAGTGGTCCCAATGTGGATGAAGTAGACTTTTTTTTCCTTTTCTGTCGCTCTATTTCTTCATCTATCTCTTTGTCCCTGAAATGGAAATACAAATAATAAGCAATATACTAGAAAACAAAAAGACTTTATAATATGACTATTAATTGGTTTGGAATTTGCCGCCGGAAATTCAGTTTCAGAAATAAAAAATTCGAGATTTTAATTGAAGAAAAAGGTTAAATTAATTATGTGATTTTATTTGACATTTTATATTTTTTTATGAATATTCCATGCGGTACCATCACAAAAGAATCAGTCACTATATTTTAGAAGTATTTTGTGGCATCCGACAAAATTAATGAATTTTGGTAGAGCCATGCTGCAGCTATATTAATAGTATAGTTGTAACACGAATGGGTCGGCTCGACAGGGAAGGACCCCGTTCTCACAGAATACCAGCGTAAAATAGCAGCTTAACGCTGCTGTGTTTCGTACGGTGAGCGTAGAGAACCAGAGACTCTTTTTACTGGAAACAAGGCATTCCATCTTAGTCCTCAAGGCTGACAACGCATCTGCATTTTGATTCGTAATCGAGGATAGTTGTAGATGTCTATGGGCTACAGCAATCACTTACCATCAGGTGGACTGTGTGCTCGTTTGTCACATTTAGCCTATAAAAAAAAACTCCAGAAGTTGCTAAAAAATACCATTAAAAGACAAAGGATTTGCTAATAGTTTGTAATATCTTAATTGCAGTGACAGAAAAGGAACTAAATTAAAACAACTTGTTTGAATCTTATCAGTCTATAGGTTATTTGTAAAGACTCACCTTATAAGCAGGGTTGGCTGATTTAAATCAGACTGATTTAAATCATGATTTAAATCACGATTTAAATCGCTTGATTTTGATTAAAAAAATCATTGATTTAAAACAACATGTATAAATTAATGTAATAAGCAGAAATCGAAATAATACTGGCTTAACATAAGGTAAAATCTTTTATTGTTTTATGTTATTCTTATTATTCTACTACAATAGTCTCATAAACTTTGGAAAATCAACAAAGACGTAGCGATGAGGTCTGTCAGTCTCATTAGTAAAATCAACCAAAATTTTTTTTTGAAATTCACCCTTAAGATATGAACTGTAATTAATACAGTATTAATTATTTTATTCATACATATGTATTCATAAACTTTTAATCCTACTATGTCAAAAAGTGTTACCAACTCGTGAATTTCAAAGTATACAATAAAAATCAAAAAAATTCAAAAAAATCATGATTTTTTTTAAAAAATCAACATGATTTGATTAAAATTAAAAAAATCATGATTTTTTTCCATTCCTGCTTATAAGTTCTGAATATTTGCCATAACTCTCACGCTTGACGGTTTATAGTAATACATACGCATGCTGAGATTATATCAACTATGTCAAAAGCTGATATAATCTCTCCATGAAGTTCCACTCACACTAAAACTGCTACCAAGCTGTTTGACTGTGAGTAGGACATGTAGAATGCTATTTATGGTAAATTAGCAATAAAATATCAAATAAGAAATTCAGTGTTACATCAAAATAATAAAAATCATACCAACCAATTGACTTTAGGCAGTGGTGGCGGCACCCATTCCTTTGCGATATACTTCTTCTGTTCGTACTTAGCGCGTATGAATCCCTCAAGCGTGTTGTCATTTTGCGGCCGCCGGAACGAATCGGGCAGGTTAGCTTCGTACACGGCTCGGGCACGTGAGTTGCCCATTTGCTGCAGAGAGACCTGGAAGCAACACACCAATACTTTCAGGACATTCGTAAAATACATTCATTTCCAACACCAAACTCATTTATTTATTTAAACTTTATGATCATCATTTCATCTCTTCACAAATTTTCGTGGCTTTAAGCGGTAGAGCCATTGCTGCAGCTATTTTCTATTTTCTCTCTGACAGCCTTGGCGGGTGAAACGCATCTGCATTTTGATTCTTAATCGAGGACAAATGTGTATGTCTATGGGTCACAGCACCCACTTACCATCAGGTTTTTTTATAGGAGAGGGGGCAAACGAGCATGCGGCTTACCTGATGGTAAGTGACTACCGCCGCCCATGAACAACTAAAACACCAGGGGAATTGCAGATGCGTTGCCGGCCTTTTAAAAAGGAGTAGGCTAGTGCTTCGTTTTTACCCTCATTCTATAAAAAAATCGCTGCTAAACATCATCATCATCATCATTACAGCCTTTCATAAGTCCACTGCTGAACATAGGCCTCCCCCAAGGAATGCCACAAAGCACGGGCCTGAGCCACCTGCATCCATCGACTTCCTGCATGTCTTACCAGATCGTCACTCCATCTCGTGGGGGGTCGCCCTACATTTTCCCTACATTATCATTACGAGGCTATCATTCGTAGAACCTTTTTCTCATCAGAAGTCAGGTCGTCGCAATACATGGAAGTGATCGCGACGTTGTGATCATTTTGCATATATAAACGCGTCTGACGTTACTCCTTTTTGGAATATCTCGCTTGTTGTTAAAATCTATGAGCTTAATCTAGAATATTGAGAAGGGATATTGCCACTTACATACACTCTGGTGGACTGTGCGTTCGTTTGCCACTTCAATTTTATATTAAAAAAAACCTTGAATATGTTTAATAGGATTTGAATGAATAAGTGGTGGCGCTGTCATCGCGCCACAAGCGAAAATACATGTAAGCCTAAATTGCGCTATCAAAGTTCCGAAGTAAAAGCAGTATAATACATAGAAAGCTTTGAACTACCACTTGGAGCGTTGGCCGCTCCTTGGGCCGAACACCTTGCCCGGCGAGAGATTTCCAATTTTTCCTTCCACCATCTTCAAATAGTTAATAATAATCGATTATAAGAGGTAAACACAGATATCTATATCTGTGGAAGTGACTATGAAAATGCAGAGTTCCTTCCTCCCACACCGGAGACGGGCAGCATCTCAAAGTTCAAGGACATCTAGTGCTAAGATCGTCAAGTGTGTCAATATACTTTTATGGGTGGATGAAGCAGAAGGAGAATCGATTATCAACATCACTACTGCTTACTAAACCACCCGACCAGCGTGGTGAGTATAGGCAAACGAACCCAACTTGCATTATTTAAAAGGTCTATGTGTATAGTGGAATCGAAAGGCAGGTGAAGATAAAGAAAGTAGGTAAACTCACATTGAATTATAAGACCTTTTTTAATTTTTAAATAATTTTCAACTTAATTCTGAATATGTAGTAATTTAATATAGTGTATAATAGTGCTAAAATAAAACATGAAATCTTACCACTTGCTCAGGTGTCCACGAATCCAAGTTGACACTCTTCACCTTAGAGATGTGGACGCCTAGGTTTCGATGGATGCCAGCACAGCGAATGCAAAGAAAAATGCCCAAGTTCCATGATGCCCACCGTGGACCTGAAAAAGTAATTCAGATAAAATATTATTATTTTTTGTATTTTCTACAGCTTTGTTTTTTATAATAATAGATGTTGTAGTATGAATTACTACTTTATTACTGACTTAATTTCTTTTAAGGAAGTGGCAATTTTGAAATAAAAATTAAACCTGCGTGGTCGAATATTCGTGATTAAAAACTTTTTTTTGACATAAAACTACTATTATTTTTTACATAAAAATACTATAAATAATAAATTAAAATATTTCTTGACAGTTCTATTATTGAGATCTGGTGAATCAATAACAGCAGATGTCTATTGTGAAAACTTTGAATCGCCGTGCTGGGATTAACGGCGACGGGAATAGTGCGCGCGATTGAGGGAGGGAAAAAAAACTGAGCAGGACACATAATTTTCTTTCTTTACGCGGAATTAAGCAAATTAGTTTATAACAACCCCATTATAATGGATTTCCACAAAGTAACGCCTGATTCTATCAATTATGTACTAATAATAAACATTATTAAAACTCCCTTTAATCAATCCATGTAAGCTAAAATACTTGTGTTAAGAGTCGATCGGCCATTTTAACTACTGTGGTGAACACTTACAATGGCGGATTCGAACTCGTGGCTTCTTAAGTTTGCGGTTCGTACTCTACCATTACACTACTGTGTATCAATTATGACGAAACTCTCAGATAAACAAACACCGACTCGTCAAGCGATTTTCGCCATTATTGCTCCATAACCCAAGGCATGTTCGTCATGCAATTCGCATCTTCGAAAAGCAGTTTTTGCAAGACAAGACATGCAATTTGAAATAGGCAACAGACGTCGTCCTTTGTACTCGCGAGACTGAGCCTCAACTTATTATTTCGTCTAAACCTATTACCATCTTTTTTCCGCAATTCGAACAATTTCCTATAAGGAAAACATATTCCCAGAATTCTATCGCGAAGGCATACATAATTTTCCCTCGGGACGGTAGTAATCTATTAAAGGTAAATGCTTCGATTAAATAAACATATTTTTTGTTAGAAAAAACATATGCATAAATACTTTAACGTCACGCCTGTACTTCTCCGAGGGGGTGGGAAGTTTAGTAGGCAGAAAAATAGCCGGCCAAGTGCGAGTCGGACTCGCACATGAAGGGTTCCGTACCATCGTAATACACGTTTCTGGTAGAGGAGCAACTTTTAATTTTTTATTTATTTTTATTATTTGTTGTTATAGCGGCAACAGAAATACACAAATACTTTCTGTGAAAATTTAAACTGTCTTCTTATTACTGATTATGAGATACGACCCGCTTGTGAACATTTCCACAGACTGCAGACATCAGATGTGATAGACCACAAATCCTCGCAAATGAACACCGATTCCTACCAAGGAAGATACGCGAGGCTATTAAAATTAAAAAAAAAAACTACCTAATTTCTAGAGAAGATGGAAGGGTGCTGCCATCTGCTTGGGATCCTATAATTAACAAAATTAAATCCAAGCCCAAGCACACCACTGCAAGATTTCAAGATACTGTAAGCTCATTCTGCGTAGATCGAACCAAATTTAATATTCAAAAACTGAAGGTAGCCGGGCTAACTATGACATCGGGACGTCAAACATCTCAGTCTCCCCCATGACATTGGGTTGGTGTAAATAAAGCACCCAAAATCTGGAAAAGGTCGGGAATTAAAATAAGTAAATTAAACGCGATAAAATCCGTAAACATAGTTTTATTCAATATGTAATGTTCGCGTAAATATAAGAAATCATTAGGGTCCCGTTGGTTACCCTTTGTGTAAGGAACCCTAAAAAGGGTTTAGATAGAAAATTGTGTGGCTAGCCAATCGTCTTCAAAATTACAACCCCAATATCACATCAGTCACCTTTTACGACAAGCTAGACAACTAACACTTGGCACGTTCTTGTTATACGTCACACATAAACATGGGTCTTACAAAAAAATCTGTGTGAATTTTTCAATATAAGACGGTATTTTCACACTTTAAACTTTTAATACACTTCCTGGCTCGGATGAGATTGTCCTGTGCATTCAGTTTTAAATACTCCATAATTTTTTTAAAGTGTAAATATTAAATTTACTAATAACTTGAATATAGCGATACCTGTCGCGTCCACAATCTTTGTTTTTTTTTATAGGATAGGGTGATACACGAGCACACAGTCCACCTGTTGGTAAGTGGTTGCTGTGACCCATAGACATCCACATATATCCTCAATAAAGAATCAAAATGCGTTGTCACTCGTGAGGACTAATACAGAATGCCTATTTTCCAGTAAAAAGGGTCTCCAGTTCTCTACACTCACCATACGAAACACAGCAGTGTTAAGCTGCTATTTTACGCTGGTATTCTGTGAGAGCGTGGTCCTTCCCCGGTCGAGCCAATCCATTCGTGCTACAACTATACCAGTAATATAGCTGCATCATGGCTCTACCACGTAAAAACGAACGGATTTCTCTTAATAGCAGATAGGAAATGGAACAAGAAGACATCATAGGAAACATAATATAAAAAACAACAAAAACGAACACAGTAATTAATAATTTTTTTATTCGATGAACGTTACCAGCAATTATTTTGCTGCGGCCTTGAGACACCATCGTAATGTTTTATTCGGCCGGAAAATAAATGTTAAACGCTTCCTGCGCTATTCAGTAATTTATGAAAACTTAATATGGAACTGTATAACGGTGTTTACAGTGAATTCTAAAAACACATGAAGTCCATATAAACGTTTTCAACATTGATATGGACTTCATGTTGTAACATTTTTAACAAAGAAAATAAAAGATAGTTTTTAGTTTTTCATCATTTTTACAACACAAGAAACCTTCTGTTATTTCATTTATATTAAAAAAAAAATAAGGATGTAACTGTCCGCTAGTAAATAATGTACTTAATAGCCCTCTCAGAGCTTTAGCTAATACTGCACCACCGGCCATTTGTACGGCAGGGCTTTTCGTTATAATTTCGCTGCTTTGATCATGTGTTCCGCAATTTATGGTAGATTTCTTAACCAGATGGAAGTTAGCGTAGAACATTCTTCTTTTTGACTAAACTGTATGCCAATTAATTGCTCCATAAATGCTCCAGCAGAATCCGAAATTGCTCCACCTCTATTGTTCTTAGTTAATTTATAATTATTTAAAAAAAAATTAAGTATCAAAAATTTAATTTTGCTATAAAATATAAAATATCTGCTTTTTAAAATTAAACTGTATGCCAATTAATTGCTCCTTAAATGCTCCAGCAGAATCTGAAATTGCTCCACCTCTATTGTTATTAGTTAATTTAAAATTAATTTTTAAATAGTTTAAGTATCGAAAATTTAATTTTGCTATAAAATATGCCAATTAATTGCCCCTTAAATGCTCCAGCAGAATCCGAAATTGCTCCACCTCTACTGTTATTAGTTAATTTATAATTAATTAAAAAAAAATTAAGTATCGAAAATTTAATTTTGCTATAAAACATAAAATATCAATATTTAAAAATTAAACTATGCCAATTGCTTGCCCCTTAAATGCTCCAACAGAATCCGAAATTGCTCCACCTCTATTGTTATTAGTTAATTTATAATTAATTTAAAAAAAATTAAGTATCGAAAATTTAATTTTGCTATAAAACATAAAATATCAATATTTAAAAATTAAACTGTATGCCAATTGCTTGCCCCTTAAATGCTCCAGCAGAATCCGAAATTGCTTTAGCTCTATTGCTATTAATTAATTTATAAATAATTTTTACAACATTTAAGTATCGAAAATTTAATTTTGCTATAAAATATAAAATATCTACTTTTTAAAATTAAACCGTATGCCAATTAATTGCCCCTTAAATGCTCCAGCAGAATCCGAAATTGCTCCACCTCTACTGTTATTAGTTAATTTATAATTAATTTAAAAAAAATTAAGTATCGAAAATTTAATTTTGCTATAAAACATAAAATATCAATATTTAAAAATTAAACTATGCCAATTGCTTGCCCCTTAAATGCTCCAGCAGAATCCGAAATTGCTCCACCTCTATTGTTATTAGTTAATTTATAATTAATTTAAAAAAAATTAAGTATCGAAAATTTAATTTTGCTATAAAACATAAAATATCAATATTTAAAAATTAAACTGTATGCCAATTGCTTGCCCCTTAAATGCTCCAGCTGAATCCGAAATTGCTCCACCTCTATTGCTATTAATTAATTTATAAATAATTTTTAAAACATTTAAGTATCGAAAATTTAACTTTGCTATAAAACATAAAATACTGACTTTTTAAAATTAAACTGTGTGCCAATTAATCGGTCCTTAAATGCTTCAGTAGAATTTGAAATTGCTTCACCTCTATTGCCATTAGTCAATTTATAACTAATTTTAAAAGAAAATAATTGTCGAAAATTTAATCTATATCTATACATCTATACAAATAAATAAAATTGAAGTGTCTGTTTGTAATGTCAAAATTACAGTTTTTTACTAAATGCATATGAAAGTAAATACGATACCTATAACTAAAATACAATTTTTAAAATTTTTGTCTGTCTGTCTGTCTGTCTGTTTGTTCCGGGTAATCTCCGAAACGGCTGGACCGATTTTGATGGGACTTTCACTGGCAGATAGCTGATTTCATAAGGAGTAACATAGGCTACTTTTATTTTAGAAAAAGAATCAGGGTTCCGCGCAGAAACATAAAAACCCTAACACGCGAACGAAGTCGCGGGGAACAGCTAGTTTTGCTATAAAACATAAAATATGTACTTTATAAAATAAAACTGTATGACAATTAATTGCTCCTTAAATTCTCCAGTAGAATCCGTAATTTTTCTGTCTATTGCTATTAGTTAATTTATAATTAAATTTCAGATAGAGTGATTCTATTTGAGTAATAGCGCCATCATCAATAGAATGTAGTAACATTCTATAGTTAAAGTCATTTTATCGAACAAACATTGATAGACTCTCAAGGTGGTTCGTAGAAAAGACTAGATGGCACAAACA